AAGGTTTTTCTTTAGTTCTATTTTATGAAGGAGAAAATCTAAAAGTTGTTATTATGGGTTGGAAGAGCAGAATTTCAGCTTTCTAACGATTTGTATTAACATAGAATTTGAAGAAAACGCCACAAAGCGTCTTTTCTTTTGCGTAATTTATGAAACATTATATTTTTTCATATATTATACAACAAAGAATATCGATTGTTATTTAATTACCTAGAAATCTGGACTAAGCTAAGGTAAAAAGAAAACAATTTGTTTTTTTAATATTTATTTTATCGGCTCCTAAAGCCTATTGGAAAGAACAACGAGACATGTGTCCAATATTTTTCTCTGAAGAATAACCGATAAGTCGTCACATACCCTTTTTCCGGACAGATTAAATACGTTTTGTACAATAATTTATCAGTGTTTTGATCCCAAACTGTTCCAAAACACTGACGAGCGGACAACCCAAATTCAGAACCCTCCTTTTAGAATTCGCCGTAGCTCGGTAAAAGCTCACCTCTTTCACTTTTAATTGGAAGAACATGCTTACGGCGAGGTCTGGTGCTTGAGTCTAGCCAGTTTGGTTTGTAGCGTTTGTCGACTTCCCCGCTGCTACTAATGGTAAAGATTCATTAAAAAAATATATTTTCAAAGAGCCTCCTTGACTTATACCTTTAATGAGCCACATGTGGCTTGGAGGGACCTTTCTAATCAACACTCTAAAGTTATACATGAACTCTTATCGTCAGCACTATTTTAAAGTAACGAAAAAGACTAAAAACGTTGCACATTCGTTATTTTAACATGGTTCAGACGATATGTAAAAACCCTTCACTTCGTTAATTACTTTTAATATTAATACCTTAATAATAATTTTTATAATATTGAGGCAATAAACACGCCATTTCGTATCACATTTAATCGCTAATCTAATTTTAAGAATTTTTAGTGCTAAATATGTGTGAATATTTTAATTTATTGGAGAAAAACTTTTTTCTTTTTTATTTCGATTAGCTATCTGTTGATCAGAATATTATTCTTTTTATGAAATTCAAGATTGTAGTATAAACTATGCTAATACATTTAAAATCGATAGTTGAAGACTTATTTCATAAATTAGCATTCCAGAAATTTTAAAATACGAACAAATATATAAAACATGATATTTTCTAATTTACTAGTAAACTTTCTAAATTGAAGGCCTTGAAACAAGAATAGTGTTGCCTAAAATTGGTCTTGGTCTTGATCTTGCAGTTTTGCAAGACCAAGACCAACACCAGACCCTGCTAGTCTTGCGCAAGACCAAGACCAAACCTTGCAGGTCTTAAGTAAAACTGAGACTATTTTCAGATATAGTACGGTGCTGGAACATTTTAATCATTTAATATAAACAGCGCTGTTTTTTCTTGTGGAATTGTATATTTGAGTTTAGCTTTCCAAATAATAATAAAAAATTAATATTTTTATTTGTTCTCCCCCTATCTTGCATTTTAGGTTATACAGGGGTTTTCGCGGCCATGGATGAGGGCGGAGGATTAATGACAGAGTTAAAATACCCCCGGGCAGCGGGACGCGAACTCATAATTATTTTATTGTCTCCAACTTCGGTTATCCGGTTGCCGGGCAACGAGCAGTGCTCTGCACAATCGTTAGTCAGCTCGGACACCCCGCACCTGAAAATTAATCATTTGTCAGGACCGGAGCGAGATAACAAAAAAAAAAAAAATGAATAAAAATTAAGACTAAATGCTTAGTAATACTAGCCCATTTTAGTTACTACAATGAAACTTCTCAAAAGAAGCGGACACTCACAGGGAATACAAAATTGCACGCTATAGAGAGATGTCCGTTTTAGAAAAATTGGAAGAAAAACAAGTTAAAAAAATATCAATTAGAAAACTTAAATTGTATTTTAAAATTTATATCGTGAAAATAAAATCGTTTATTCCATTAAAAACATTTTTCTTTTTTAAATTCACAGTTTAAAAATATTTTTATGAGAAATTTAATAATATATTTTGCATAATAAAATTGCCCATAAGAAACGTTAACTTTTTTTTGTATGTAGAAAAAAAAAGAATAGTCATTTCTAATCTTTGTTTGGACGAGCGTAACTATTTTGTTTTCTAAATTGTTATGAATAGATAAAATCGTTGCAATTATTCCACTTCCTCCTTCAAAATGAAATTGTTTCTCAGGCAACTAATTTGTGAGAAAACTTCTTCAATATTCACTCAGAGATCACGAAAATGTATCATCGGCTCAAAGGTCCACCGCGAGTATGATTGTTCGAAATGATTGTACGAACGCTGGAGGATTAAGATACAAGCCTGGTGAAATCACCCGTGTACAACGGCATAACTCGAAAGAATTTATTTCTTTGCATTTCAGTGTTTGACACTCTATTCGCAGTATTCGTTATTTCCTTAAAATGTTTAACCACCAAGTTTTAATCGAGTGGCTAAATTGCAAATACTGAACTTTCTGATCACTCATTAATTACACACCTTTTTCTTTGAAATTTAACTGGAACCATGTTGACATATTATAATCAAATGTGTGTAAATGACAACAAAGAGTTAGGACTAAATTCTATTTCAAAACCGGATTCCTGGACGGAACTATGTGAGCAATGAATATATCATCAGAAATAATACAAAAATAAATGACATTATGGTAGATAACGTGAAATATCTTATTATAAAATTCTTTTCCTTTTTTTTTTTTTATCATTAGAATTTCTTGTTGTAGCTTCTAAATTCTATATACTTCAAATAAGATATTATAATTTATGTTTTTTTATCTTAATAAATTTGAAATTTGGTTCATCTACTGAAAAACTCCTTTCTCGAAAACTGGTAGATTTTTTATTGTAAATTTCAGAAAATATTAATATTATTAGCCTTTCCGCGAGCAAAATAATATTTTCTTTCGTTTTTTTTTTTTTTTTTTTTTTGATACTTGTACATGAAACAGGATTCAGAACTTCAACATAAAATTCAGTATGAAATTATTTTATCTTAGCTTATTTTTTTAACGATTTTTCAAACTCATACCGGTCAATTCTCTTCCAGGAATTGTTATTTATTTTCCTTATAGTCTTCATTCTTATAATTGATAATTTTTTTACTGTACATCCTACCGATTTTTTATGTTTCCTTTTGTATTTTATTTGATATATAACTTATGACACAGTAGTACATTAACGTTCATTGTTATTTTGGTCATAATAGTTATTATCATTTACTAATAATTTAATTATATAATTAATAATTTAAGTTTATCTTCGAGTAACAAGAATTGAGAAACGTCGACAAATATTTATTGCAAAGGATCTCAAATCGGCAACTATTGTTTGTTAATTATTGATTTACACATCTCAATGAAGGTTTTCGAACAATTTTCAAAGAATGGATGGAATCTAAGAATTTGCAGTGGAAGGAATGCACAGAATTGCCATGGAACTTCCAAAATTACATAAACTGTGAAATGGTTCCGGATGAGCAAAATAATTGTTGTTTTTTTTCGTATATCTATCCTCTAAAAATTGGAAAAGCATTTTAGTGGACATTAACAAATATTTTATTATAATTCTGTGAAAACTGAAATTATTGGTTTGCCAAATTCAGGCTACATTGTGGAAATATTTCAATACTTTAATTAAATTCAACAACGTATAATTCAGCAAGAACAAAATCTGGCCGTGGATAGCTCAGACCTGATTGGTTAATGGTAGTTTTAGTTAAGAGAAGAACATAAAAAGTGTTATATCCGTTTGGTACCACTGTGTGCAATCCGTTATGGAGAAACGTTTCAATCAAAATCTAAATAGAAAAATAAAGAACCTGAAGGACGTGCGCTACTTGTTCATAATCTCTAAGTACCCAAAATAATAACCTCTACCTACCTAAACTACTAGTAAAAGCTTTTATGTGCGAATCTAACATATGTGCTAAAAACATTAATCAATTAATTGTATAAACATATTATGAAATTTAAAATCAACATTATACGGCTCTAACGATTTTAATGAAACTTTCTTCTAATTTTCTACTTAAAGTCTTTTAAATTTTCGTATTTTTAGTGAATTTTCGAGACAATTCAAGAAAAAAAGTTATAAAGAAAAGAATATTGTTTTGGGGAGCTAACTCGCCACGTAAACACCTATCGGTTTTAAACGGATCTAAACGTTTCTGAGCCTGTTTTGAAGCCTATTTTTTGAAAGGTCATTGAATTTCTGACAAAAATTGTTGACAAAAAAATCATCTGAATCGGACCAATTTTAGCTCTTATAACATATATTGGTTTTTATACGCCGATTTTAATGGTGGCTCACTCGCCTGTTTACATTGCTTGTTTCATCTAAAGAATCCTACCCTAATGACTTCACGGATCGGTTTTTAGGAAAATAAATCTATTTCAATTTTTTTTTTTCCTTTATCTAATATTTTAATATCTAATATTTCTATCTAATGGACACATTTAAAGTTTTATTAATTTTTTTTATATATGAAATATATTGATAAATATATATGAAAGTCTTTTAAGTGGACACAATAGATTTTAAATTAAAATCATTGGGTACAATATATAAATTGTCTTTACTCTTTCATTCAATATAATCGAAGGGATGGAGGAGGGTTTTCACCATCTTTCTTTATTCTTAATTTTATTGATTTATTTGTACTTTACAATGTTTATGTTTAAAAAACATCTGATTGTAGTTATTTTGTAGCGCTTTTCTAAAATTTAAAATACCATATTGATAAATAGCAATAAGCTGATAGTTAACTGCAATTTCGAAGTCTGGACCCAAATTTTTCTAGCGTTAAGGCCTTCCATAATTATTGTTGAGATTATAATCTGCAATCCGGAAATAACCAATTGATATTTAGCTTTTATTTTAGCAGATTATGTATATATTTTCATCTATGTGATATAATTAATACATATTTAAATGATTTAATTTCAGAGTTAATAGATGTATTTTTAATAATTGTTAATTTACTATGTTTCAGCCAAAATCCTTCTCTTCTATGTATGTTTTTACGCTTGCCTTATGGGCTTTTTCTCAGCCCTCCTCGCCCTGTTCTTCCAGACTCTCGATTTTAGAGCACCGAAGTGGCAACTTAAAAGTTCATTGATTGGCGATAATCCAGGTAACATCCAAATATTATTTCATTTTGCCAGTTTTTGTGAATGTATACGATGTAATCTACTGTAATACCTATAATAAAGCTAATAATTTAAACATGTTCATTCTCTACAGTTCTCATTTGGAATCTCTCAGCATATCCTGCTGTCTAAAGGTGTCTCCTTATTGAAACGAGTAAATTCTTGGGAATTTCAACTTCATTTCTGGGGAACTGATCGACAAAAGTTATATTTTTTTAGGTTGAATTGGAATGTGTTTTTTCATATTATAAAGGGTTTAGTAATTCTCATGGTTGTTCATGAATCTTTCCTTCAGCCAAATTTTAGGGGAAACCATGACGATCTCATTCCTTAGAAGTTATACCGCTTTGATGTTTACAAATAAGAATAAAAATTATGAAATAACAGGGGGCTGTCACCCAGTTGTTGTCTGGAGGCTTACTGATGCATCACATCGATCTATATGCCCCATCTTAATCTCATTTCTTTTATATCTTGATATATTGAATGACCAGTTTCTGTAAGCAGTTTTTGATAGGTCCTTCTCCGTGATTTCTTCTTAGTGTTTTTATTCCAGATCGGTTATTGTGCTGAGCATTTTTCTCTTAAATCTTTCGATTTGACATCTCTGTTTAGTGTCCAGACCTCGCCTCTGTATATCAGAAATGGCTTTTATATCATTGTATTTTACGCCATTAATTTGAGGTTTCTGAATAATTTCAGGATTTCAATAACAAGAAGGGAGAAAGCTTTCTTTGTACGTAACTGACCGTTAGTTATTGTGAAGCATTTATAATTATCTATATCTATAAAAATCTTATAGATATGGATTCATATTATTATTTTATATTTAGCGATATAATAATATATTGAATAAGCAAAGTTTATTTTATTTCATTAAATTTTCTATTTTTTACGCGACTATGCTATTTTTTATGCGACTATGTCGCAGAACAAACACGGCACAAATTTTAGTTTCAGGAAAATTTTAGAAAATTAATCAGCTTTACACATTTTTATTAATCCTATTAAACTGTTAAAGTTCACTTAGATTAGGTCAGAAGTTTTATGTCTCTTTATAAAAGAACCCGTCTGAACTCTTTATACCCGTCCCCTTCGGGCAAATGCCCGAGTTCCCCTGCCCTGAGGCCGGCACCCTTTACCATGGAACAAGATCAAAGAAGAGAGTGGTAAGTGTGAATATAACATTGAACGATCTTCAAAACTATCGAAACCTCCTAACAACTGCAAAATGAGCTTGACTACGAAAAAGCCACAAAAACTACTCTGTAGCCGAATTTCAGATAGTAAGAGGCAGAGAATGGATTTTATTAATTGGATAATTTAACAAGAAACGAAAAAAGAACTCTAGATTCATCTTTTCAAACCAATGAATCTTCGAAATAGCAATAGCTCAGAAACGAAGTGATCTACACATCAAGCATTCGTGAATCAAACCATGTCAATATGGAGTTGAGCACGTTAAAAACGAAACTTTTATAATCTATTCTAAAATGGGACGCATGATCTCCGTCCGAGCCGCCCCTACAATGGTAGACGAAAAGTGAATAACCCGTGTGATTAAATACTCGCTTTCTAGTCAAAAAAGTTACATAGAGCATTACAGTTTTTTCTTAGGCCTGCAAAAAAAATTGAACCGAAAATATAATGGTCATAGAACTAAAATTACGCAGTTTCAGTTCAGAAAATTTTTAGGTTTTTTATTCTTACAGGCTTTTGCAGTGTGGCTGGCGATGTATTTAAATTATTTTTAAATTTATAATAACATATAAATGCTAAAAATATTTATTTGTCTTACTTTGTCTTTATTATTATTTACATAGATTTACTCTTTATTAATCTTTAGTATAAACTACATTTACAATTTCAATTTCAGGATTGGGGTTCAGGCCAATGCCACCAGAATCTCATGTAGAAAGTACACTTGTCTGGTATAAAATCAGCGATAATAATTACGCAACGTGGACGACAAAACTGGATGACTTCCTAAAGCGTTAGTAATTATTATATATATTGTTAGAAATAAATATTTATCATTAAAAAAATTATTAAAATATAAACTCAAAGATCGACATTTTTCATGATAATTATAATATCTAAAGGTGTTCCAAGACATTCCAAGACATTCCACAAAGTATGAGAAACAGAATTATCTTACTTCGCTAACAGCGAAATTAGCGCTTAGCCCAACTTTTTATTATTTCTCTTATTACCGACAGCAGCTAGAAAACATCAAAAACAAGAAACAAAAACACTAGCATAAGGGAAAACCATTTAAATATTTGTGTTTCACTTAGTTTGTGAAATATCCAAACGCACCTTAACAGTGTATTAGCGATCATATTGAAAGTAATTTGTATGATGAACTGATACTTGGAATACTGTCTAGTTCACAGATATCCAACATTAACTTAATCAAATTATTCAGACAACAGTTAATTTTTGTGTAGCGATAAATTTAAAGAAGTAGATACTTATTTGTACAAACAAGGGTATGTTTCATTATATACCATAGATTTATTTAAACCTGTTGCGTGTTCTTGTATCACGTGAAACAATCTACAACTAATTTAGTAAATATAAATCAATAATTAGGAGAGTATTAATTTAATCTTCCGAAAATTTACTTTATGTAGCTGAAAATAGTAAATATCAAATTTACTCTACAGAATTGAAATTGATAAGTAGCTGTGTTGATACATTAAAACTAAAATAAAAGGATAATCATCGATGGTACGTCTGAAGTAATACTATCCGAGCTTCTCAGTAATGAAAGAATTGATAACGAAATCAAGGTTACTTCAGGTCAACCTTATCTCATTTGATAATATGGAATATATTGAAAATTCTAAACTTCTCAGAAACGTAATTTTTCTGTTACTAAAGGTTAACTTTAAACTCACGCCGTTAGTTCCCCTTGAACAAATTTTCTGTTTATAAACTAACCTTTATGGTTCCTTAGTAAAGGTTACAAAGAAATTTCTAATTTTACTGTTGAGGTCACCTCACCGTTCAAGTAGGTGTTGAGCTAACTTGAATCTCCTCATCTGCAGCCCACTTTACTGAAATGAACATACAGTGGGTCAAAAAGTATTGGCACACATAACTTTTTTCAAGTTTCATTGTAAAAGAATCCGTAATTGATTTGCTGAACATTTTTATTTAATAAAAGATTTAGAAAAATACATAATTTGGATAAAAAAAAATTTAATTTACTTAATTAAAAAATTCAGTAAACGGAAAATCACTTCAACACGGTCAAAAAAGTATTGGTACACTTTAATATGAGGTTTATTTCACGAACTGGATATTTATTAATGTTTTGTCATCGTACCATTGGTATCTATGACATCCTGGGATCTTCTTGGTATCGACAAAACAAAATTTTGAATTATATCTTGTCCAATTTTACGACATCCCTCTGACAAAGTTTCCTTTAATAATTTTTAAAGAAATTTTATTTTCATACTTTCAAATCCTATAGAACCATAGGTAGTCTATGGCATTTATGACCAGAGACTGTGGCGACCTTTCAATTGGTTGAGGACATTGTACAGCACCTATTCTTTTGTTTTATTTGGCGTCATTGTCATGTTGGAAGATAAATGCATCTTTAATCCTCAGCACAGGCGGATTTACGGGGGGGAGGGGGCTTTCGGGCTGAAGCCCCTCTCCCCCAAAATGGTAAAATGTAACCATGTTTTATGGTAAAAAATATTAAAAAGTTATGTCTTAAAGTATTATTGCTCGTTTAATTACATTTAATAGAACTTCAAGAATTACTTAAACACCATTTCGTATAGGTAGTTAGTATCTTTCTGTTTTTTCAAAGTAATTATCGTTATATATATATGAAAAAAAAAAACTTCCGACTGAAGCCCACCCCAAAATTAAATTCTGGATCCGCCAGTAATCCTCAGATCAGCTCTACTTGTTAAATTGTGTCGTAAAATGTCGACATATTGGTTGGCATTCATAATATTGTCAATAAAGGTTAAAGTTTCCAACACCATTACATGGCATGCCCTCCCATACCTGGACACTTCCATCTCGGTGTTTTACAGGTCTTATATGTCCAGTTGGAAACTCAGTGTCAATTTTCCGCCAAACGAACTTGTGGCCATTAGAATGGAATATGTTAAACTTACTTTCAACTGAAAAGATAACATTTTTCCAGAATTCTAGGTCTTTATTAAATTAATTTTAAATTGGCAAACTCAAGTCTTTTTTTGCAGTTCACCTCTATAATAAAAGATTTTTGGAAGTGTCATAATAATATTTTTAAATTACATTTCTGCCAGAAGGTGGTAATTGAAATAAATGCGACCTCTTCTACTATCTGGACGGGTGATAAAGTGTCATTTTGATCAACAATTAGATGGATATTCCTTTGTGCCCTCTCCTTAAATTTTAAAGGCTGCTCTTAACGGGGTATGTTTAAAACTTTCTAAATGTTTGTGCAATATTTTGAACACTGCTAAAACAAATCTCCAATTTGTTCGCTATTTGTCGGTAGTTAAGTCCATTACATTTTAATTTAACTATTTGTTTTTTTTAAAATGACACAATATTCACTGGTTTTACCCATTTTGTTATGGAAAATGTATAGCAAAGACTGATTTTTATAATTTTCATTGTACTATCGTCAAACCTTGTTTATAATTTCTTGAAAGAAAAAGTATTAATTTGTTTTGACTGTAGCTAATAGTAAACATTTTAAACTGTGCCAATACTTTTTTGACCCGCAATATTTACTCTTTATGTTTACTGTAAACATAGATATTAAAGCCCAAAAGCCCACTTTTTTATATTAATATTATTTCTGAAAAATATCTTAATCCTATTGAGATTTTCAGAAAACTTGGAGTCTGCCAATACTTTTTTGTTCCACTGTATGTATATATATTTCATACTTTGATTGACAGAAATATTTACACGAGGCGTTTGATTTGACTTTTATTTCCGATAATAATTAAGTTCTGTTGTCTTTGAGAGTGGTTGGTATTTTGTGTATACAGTGTTAATTGATGTTTCTCGGTGAATAAAATACCTAAAGTAAGTTACTCGCGAAAATCTTTGTAAATTTGTATAAGACGTAGGTGTTTCAATAAAAGATCAACAAAAGAATAAACTTAAATACATGCAGACAAGAATTTAGTCTTTATTTATTCTTGCGTGTGTTACAAAATGGTAATTTTATTTTTTATTTAATTTTAGGCAATTCTCTATTCAGACAGCTCAAAATTTAAGTAAAATACAAATACAAGTATATCTAATTATATGTATTTTGATCAGTGACGGCCATAGGGCCGGATAACCTAGGGTTACGCCTGTCGGTGGGCGCCGATCATCAGGAGCACTCTTCACTTGTCAGTAATTTAAAACAAAAGCACAAGACGTATTAAAATAATTAATTTTAGCATATTAATAAAGCAACTGTATAAAAGAAATGCTGAATGAAATAAAATTCAAATGTTACATAATATAAAACAGCTTAAGAAAAAAATTATTTTATTTTATATTATTAAAAAATGTCCACTTCAAAAACTCAAATCACCCTAAAAATGTGTCCCCCTCTAACATTTTGATGGCACAACTTGCGCCATGCAACCCCCTCCCGGACACCTCTGGTTGAAAGTTCCATTGAATCCACAAAATACTGGTCATCGGATAATAGCAGTCAAGAAAAACAATAAGAAAGGCAAAATAAAGTAGATGCAGTCACAGCACAAAGAAATAAAAAGTTTCTGATGCCCAAAATTAAAGACGGCCCATTTTGCTTCGTCACTGCCGAAGGTCAAAAATTTTGTGTTTAGAATAGAAAAGTTCTACTCACGTTTTACGTTTCAGGTGCAAGGATCAAATTTGGTTTGGTGCATTTCTAAATATTTTCTCAGATATGCCAATATTTCACAAACGGCTCGTTCGATTTGGTTCAAAGGTGGAATAAAGATTGAGTGCATGAGTATTGCTAAAAAAAATAACGCTCTATCAATTATATTGAATTCTGTAGCTGTGTAAACAATGGACTCTTAAATTTGAACAAGCGTTTCCTTAGTACGTCTATATCTCAAAAACCGCACGTTCTGTTTGGCCTAAAGTTGGAGGGAAGATAGGCATTGATAAACAATTGATCAGTTAGATATAAATTTTCATTCACTACTTTGAAACACTAGCGGATCCAGGATTTAATTTTTTTGGGAGGGGGCTTCAGCCCGGAATTTTTTTTTTTCATATATATAAGGATAATTACTTTGGAAAAACAGAAAGATAGCCATCGATATGATATGATGTTTAAGTGATTCTTGAAGTACTATTATATGTAATTAAACGAGCAATAATACTTTAAAACATACTTTTTTAATATTTTTTACCATAAAACATGGTTACTGAATACTTTACTAAAAACTGAATACTTAATAGCAATTTGTAACTCAGGACTTACCTATTACAAAAAACTTAGTTTTATAAGGCACTAGCGGATCCAGGATTTAATTTTTTGGAGGGGAGGGAGCTTCAGCCCGAAAGTTTTTTTTTTTCATAAAAATAACAATAATTACTTTGGAAAAAAGAAAGAAACTATCTTCCTATATGAAATGGTGTTTAAGTGATTCCTAAAGTCCCTTTAAATGTAATTACACAAACAATAATACTTTAAGACATAATGTTTTAATATTTTTTTTCCATAGAACATGGTCATATTTTGGGGGGACTTCAGCCCGAAAGCCCCTCCCCCCCCCCGTAAATCCGCCTGTGCTTTGAAATAATACTTCCGCTTTCTGAACTACAAACGTATTATTTTTGACGTGCATTTAGTTTGAAAACGGCTTGTTCATTAGAAAATCGGATAAACGGCAGTAGGTAATATGCCTGTCACATCAAATTGACTACAGACAAACACCGAACAAAATTTCATCCTTGATGTCTGAAAACGCGGAAACGTAAATCGCGAGTGGACATTTTCAATTTCGAGCACAATTTTTTTTTAACCTT